CGAAAAAACCTCACAAGCTTACTCGGGTGGGACTCGAACCCACGACCGCAACAATGCAGTTGGCAAACCTCTTTCTGTTCAGCCAAATGGAACTGACTTCTAACAGAAGTTGTTTGTTTTGTGAGTTGAAATGGGTCTGAAAGGAACTTGGAGAAAACATCTCAAACCACTCTGTAAAGATCATTACGGAACAAAGAAAAAATGCAAGTACTGATACACTGAACATGGATGTAGTTGCAAATGGCAGGCTTCAATTATCTTCTTGAACAACAGGTGCAAGAGAGATACTGTTACCATGGCAAATACGAAGACTCTTAAAAATATTTCAATATTTGGAGTATAAAACTCTTTAATCTTTCACACTGAAACATACCTTGGTTTGGAAACAGGATTAAAAGACCTTTTTTTAAAATGTTGCACTTAACAAAAAGACCGAGACACAAGATTCTGAGAGGGAGGAGTGTTCTTAATCCATTAACAGATCCCTAAACATATCAGTTGTATGGTAGTGCTGAAAAAAAGCAGATGTACAGTACATATGCACATTCCTTAAATTCCACACAGGCTATGGAGGGGGGAGTGTTTGCCATCAGCTGCTCAGAGAACTTGGATGTGCCAAGTAGTTTTCCTCAATGAAGAAATCACTGAACAGACTGCATGCCATTAATAGTCAACTGCTGATTGGTCACAAATGGAAGGTCAAGTAGAGGTTGTCTTGCATAAATAATGAGTATACCGTATTATACCGTACAAAGATGCACGGAGAGAGTACACCAAAGATGAACACCACCCAGAATGGTACATGAACATAAGGAGATACATGTAGTGCTTATCATTTTATGCTAAAGACCTGAGTTCAACAGCAGAGCTGAGCATAATCTGTTAAAAGCTCAGATGGCTATGAGACAGCTTAATTAAAGTTGATCAATGAGATTAAAATCAATGAAGGGAACCCTCAAGTTCTCTTGTAGAAAATACAGGTGCAAACACAGTCGAATTTGCAGAGGACAGAGTGCCAAAAAACAGAACACGTAGAATAATGCCATGTACACAAATGGGCCAAGTAAAGAATTTCTTAACATCTGCTAAAGAAATTTCAAAATGAATCTGGACGAAACCATTTCAAACAATGTACATCTTTAATACATGCAAACACTACAAGACTAAAGCATTATACAATGGCAGGTGCACACATGAACCAGTATCGAACATGAGCAAACTACCGGTACATGTAGTCTGGTGCAAAGCTGGACACATTCTGATTTACATGGAGTACTTACTTCACTAAATCGCCGCTGCAACTTATTGTGTGGTCTTTGCCTTAGGCGGACAGGTGTGTAGGCTTCATCAGATGCTCCTGACGTCTGGTCACTCTCTCCGTCAGAACCTCTTGTGCCATTCTGTTGCACCAGTTCTGAAATCCAGACCAAAACAGACAACAAATGTACATGTGTATTACACTATGTTCATCCTCAGTGAAAAACAAAATGGATGCAAATTCACGCTACTTTTCCATTCATCTGGCCTCAAGTGATGAAGATCATCCACCAGGAAAAACCATGCATTGCATCCATTGTTATCTTCCAACTGAGTACCGGTACATTATAGACTGTGGTTAAAGTGCTGGTATTTCTTTTGATGCAGGCCACACATCAGTACAGGCAGTTTGAAAAGTCTACAGTGGCATTTTTCAGTACTTTGGCATGCAATTAACACCTGATTTCTCCTCTTATTAGTCTCCCATAATAATTAAACTATGCTCATTTTGAATTGTACCCACCTTCTCTTGTGCCAGTTCCATTTTCCTCTATACTCATGCTCTCCGTGAGTTCTGACAGTGAGTCCTCAATCACCGAGTTTGCACGAAATGTGCTTGAAAGTCTTCTCTTTAACCGCTTCATGACAAATGAAGCTATCCAAAAACAAGACTGAAATTCTTGTTTAAATAAGAGAATGAAGTCTGATACTGCTGTGGATATATCCACAAATGGGACTGGATAACAAGTTTTTTATTTCGCTTGACACAATGTAATCATTGCTCTCCACCTGTCTGAGGCTTCATCAGGAATCCTGCGTAAGCATGTCACTGCAGTAACGTGTGGTATTTGCAAATCTGAAACAAGGAAACAGAGAGAGAGAAAGAACTGTGTTTAGACTGAGTCAACAACTTGGTATAAACTAAAGTGAACTGGAAGTTGTTTGTCAATTGAGTGGCGTGATTAGAGATAGGTATCTATGGACAAAGCCCATGCCTGCCAAATGAACATGTAGGCCTACGGTATGATTATGAAAGTGGATGAGTTCCTCTGTGTGCAGAGTGAATGCATAATTTCTGTACACAAGTACTTGAATGTTCATGTACAATGTCCAGTTTGCTACATCTATAAAAATAAGAAATACAAGTATGTAAGAAGTACATGTACTGGTCGGTACACGTGTAGATGTACTGTACGTGTGAACTACTATACATGTGTCTCCTTACACAATACAGTATTTCTGTCTTCTGGCCCAGATTTATGCTTCCAAGTAGACAGCCATATTTTTCTTTAGAAAGGTTGTTATCCCAATTTAAACAAAAACCTAAAAATGTCCACATTTCAAATGTGCAGTCACTGCAGTGGCATATTATCGTCAATGTCAAGTTTGCATCAAGGGACAGTAGGAATGGCTCAGTATCACATGTACATGTAGACATATGCAAATCACTGAAGAAAAACTAAAATGCATGTTTACTGGAACGCTTAGTTCACTAATTCTGGTCTTTGGTCTGTGCACCTGACTTCTACCAGTACACCTCAGCCAGTAACCATCCTCTTTTGAAAAGTCTTGAACCCACCACTGAATGAACGATACTCCATTACAACTACATTTGTGAAGCAGCGCTGCATTTGTGAATGTCCATGTGCCAGTGCATGTACCTGTATGTAATAGAGTGCTACATGTACCTGTATGTAATAGAGTGCTACATGTACCTGTATGTAATAGAGTGCTACAGTACA